ATATGTAATTTATATATTACACATAATATATATATATATGTAAGCAGATTGATCTTACCTAAGACAGAACACACATATTTTGTTACCTTTAGGAAATCTCTGAAGAACTACTGCTAGTGACAAATATTCTTCCTCCAATTTATGATTTGGCTATATTCGATTTATTCTGCTTTATATATGTCCTTCCTTTTAAGTGTACTTTATTTCTTTTCACTTCTGTAAATAATTTACACTAATAACTGTAAACTTATTATTAATATTTAAATTCACAAAATATCTTTCTATAAAATTACTTACATGAATACCCCTTGATATATTATTTTTGCATGTTGTTAATAAGAAAAAGCCCAAACCTGCTGGCAAAAACCTTTAGAACAAACTTTGAGATACTGAAGTACTTTAGTTTTAAGCATTTGATTTTATGAGCTCATTAACGAATATTAACATTCATCATTGAAATTTACTACCTATGTTTTTATGCTTTTTACCACTGTGGGTTGTTTTACATACTAGTGATTTTTATTACCATATTAGTATTCTAAATTGAGTTTAGGTAGTAGAAATTATACAATTATCTTATTTTTATTAGATATACCTTATGGTAGTTTTACACTATTTTATTCTCCTTTGGTAGTTTATCATCTACTAAACCTGTCTAAAACAATATGTAATAAATGGTTTTGTTTAGCTAAATCTACTCTGGTTTAACAACTGTAAAAATGTTAGGTCAACATTTCCTAAATTTTTAATCATATAAGCAATTTTTTGAACTTCTTTAATTTTCACAACACATTAAAAAATTTAAAAGAAAAGGAAATGTAGAAAATATATAATGAAATATCATACCTCTTCTTCAGCTATTGGAATATGTTCAGCTAATGAGGTTCCAAATCATCATGAATTTAGTGTCATTCCTTTACTATGAAACTTATAGCTCTTAATATATAGTTAACCCTTTTATCTATTTTACTTTTTTTCTTGGAGTTTTTTAGATTTCAAGAAACTCAACTTTGTTCATAAAAGAAGGTTAGGAGATGAGTTGAAGATAGTTGTTTTAAGTATACGTGAATAAAAACAATTGATATGGAACCTGATGAAAATGAAGGGCAGACACCACTAAATGTGTCTTTTGTGATTTTTGTGACAGTGCTAGACTAAAAGAAAAATATTTGTTTTTAATCTTACAATAAATGTGACCCAACATTTTATGTTATTGAATTTTTTTAGACCCTGCAATCACATTATGACTGAGTTTATTGTGTTTTATATTATAAATATATGTAATAATTATAGTAGAATACACAAAAATTTTTTAGTACTGAATGCCTCTGGCAAAACAGGAGAAATTTTTTCATAATATATTATTTAATTTTTGAATTATACACTGGGACAATTTATTACTATTCAGTAATAAAATTAAAATATCAATTAAAAAATATAAATGGTTGGTCAATAAGAAGTTTCACTTCTGAACACGAGATAATAACCGATTCTGGACTAGCCCTGCCACCATAAACAACTAAAAAACTACACTAAAAATATGAAACAACTATTTTTAAACATTCAACAATGGGCAGTTAAGGACTGTTTGTCTCTAGGTGAGACAGGAAACAATGTGAGACCACAACTGTCTGATTTCTTCCAGGAAACACCTTGGTACTACACCACAGGAAGGAGAACCTAGACAGTTTTATTCTGAAATGACAATCGTTTGCTTACACTTTATAAATATTTTGTTTTATTTATATGTTTAAAGAGCTAGAAATCACTAGTTAAAACATGGAAGCACAAAAACCACTTTAGTCACTAAAACAGAGGCTAGCAATTTATAGGGGAGTTACTATCATCTTGTTCTTTGAGATTTAGCTGGCTTCATGGCCATCTAACTAAAGAATACATAATCCTATACATCATTATATTTCCTATCTAGTTTAGCATTTTTCTCCACATTTTTCATTTTTAACCATTATTATTGATAGTTGAATTCAAGTAGTCCCTCCATTTTGCACTTCTGACTTCTTCTTGGTGTCATCTCTTGTGTGTGAACTCCTGTGAGGACACAGTGAATAAGGTTTTCACTTTCACAGATACTTATACCCAAAAGATAACCTGTATTTTTTTTTTCCTGAGTCTTTCTGGGTACAAGGCAATCAACACCTTCCTTCCTTTCACAGCAGGCACGTGAACTTAAGCCATTTTTAAAAAGTAATTTATATTTTGAATGGAACTGTTTTTTCAGATGTATAATAAAACCAATTTGTCAGTTAATAAATAATATTTTCCAAAAACTAGGTAAGTTAGCATCCCTTTTATCCTCAAAACTGTCCTGATTTGGTCCTGATTCATTCTCACTACTGTCCTGATTCATTCTCACTACTTTTAGGTCACCATTTTAGAGAACAAACTTGTCCTAGACTTCCTCTTGCATTTGAAGTTGTCTGGAACATGGTAGGACTGCAATCAGATATGGAGGTTATTTACTGAACATGGTACTAAAGACCAGCCATTTAGGGTGTCTGGGAGAACACACATGGCACAGAGACTCGCACTAGCATTGGATCCCTCACCTCTGTACTATTACTCCAGAGGGAGATAAATGATCATCTTATTAAGACACTATCTTTTGGCCTCTTGATGCTAAAGCAGCTTAGTCTGTCCTAAGTAATATAACCCTTAAATAATAAAGATCAAGTATTATTTTGAGATACTATAATAGAAGTCACTCATAGGTAACTATGAATTAACTGCACTTCTTATGGAGTGATTAAATTTTAAAGTTATTTATTAAGGTGAAAATCATGCAGAGCCAAAAGTATCAGCATGAATCTCTCATTGAGCCCAACAGATCCAGTTTCTCTTTTCACACTGGAATAGATTGCCACTTCATAGAGCATATGATGAAGCAGTTTCTACCAGTTAGGGGCCATGTTGTATGAAATACATGTTGCACTTACATATCACAATTGGATCAATGACATGTTCATGCTAGGGATGACCCTGAAGAATTGAACCCAAATTTGAGACCAAGTTTACGCTCTCATTTTTAATTCCCCAAGGTGTCTGGTTAGACGATTGAATCATTTGCCCCTATTAGGTTATCCAAATTGTTCTTTCTCTTAGCTTAGCTGTATTACAGTAGAAAACTAGATGAAATATAGAGATTTCTTAAGGGCCCACTTTTACACTGTTAGCTATATTCCACCTCAATTTTCTAAGGTAATTGTAAAAGCTTTCTTATTTTTACCCTAAATAAAAATATAAAACAAATTGTAATCAAGGAATGCTAAAATGTGCACAGAATTGTTGACTTTTTAAAATTTACAATACTTTTTAGCAATGAGGATTATAGTATTGTGGGACAAATTAAAGAGAGCAAAGTATAATACTTTGTGCAACAATATAGATACTAGAATATTAGCTTTTTTGTTTATTTTGTTGTCACCAAAATATGCTGATTAATACTTTGTCAGTTTCTTCCATATTCTAAGGGTTTGAGTTTGAAATGTTGATTTTTTCAAACCATTGCTCTTCTGTTTAGTGACAATTTATTTCAATTATATTTTCCAGGGGCAAAACTCTACTTGGAGATGGTTTAAAACCTAGATTGAATCCTCAGCTGATGTCATCTTATCCTGGAGAGAATTTTCTTTTGCCAGGGACTGGGGTAACTAATAGTCTCAGACCCATCTTAATAATATATATTTTTCTTAAAAATGGAATGCATCACAAATTCTCATGTCATCACGTGAGGGGCCATTCTAATCTTATCTGTATCATTCCAATTTTAGTATATATATTGCCCAAGACAACATCTTAATACTATTTTTAATGGAGTTTCCACACAACGGTGTGTTATGACAGGTTAAATTCTGGTTTATCCCTTTGGCTAGAAGGCAGTCCTTTGGGTTCCCAAGACTACCTGGATAATTAACCAGGGTCCTCATTCTTAACAGGCTTTGAAAAACAACCCCACCCCATCTCCATGCACATAAGTCTCTTGAATATGCAGCTTAGCTTTTCAGTTGCTTCCTCTAGAGAGGCAAATACCCCAACATGAAAAGATATCTAAATGCTACTTTCTGGCTTCTGGTTCTTTCCAATATCACAACCTAGTTATTTACTACTATCTCATCTGTTCTTTGATGCTCTTAATAAGACATTTTTATCCTATTAGAATCTAAAGGCTGATGTATTAATATTTGTCCTACGATGTATTTGGAATAAAAATCTGAAATGCTATTCCGTATCTCAGTATCATGTTTAAAATAAACTGGTTTTAGTTTATTGCTCATGACAAAGACAATTTAAAGTTTTCTCTCAGCTTGACTAAACTTTAAACATGTTTTTTCCTGACTCCAAACCCCTTTTCTTAGGGCATTTACTTTAGAAAACTTATAATTATAAATTATTTTTGTCCTTTTGATGTGCAGATCTTCTGGAAGACCTTTGCTACTTTACAACCCAGGAAGGTCTTTCTTAAGGACCTGGTAGCCACCCCCTTTGTAATATAATCCTGAAGAAAGACAGCACCCTTATCTCCCAGTTTCTGTGAGAAGGTAGGAGCCTCATTTCCATAAACACCGATTAGAGAACACATCTGGCCTAATTACATTTTCTTAATGTCCTTTATAGGATTCCACTAGTTCCTCTTAAAGTATAAAAAACTCTCCCATCTTTTGTTTCAAGACAGTTGAGTTCAACTTCTCTCCTCTATTTTAATAATCTTGACCCTTATCACAGTGGTCCTGAATAAAGTCTTTCTTACCTGTTTTAACTCCATCCGGTGTAAAATTTTTTTGACATGTAACTCAAAATTAATTTCTAGGGATTTATTCTTTGTTATTCATGGATGCAGTGACATCTTCTAAATTTTTTGCCAACTAGTCATTAAACATTTTTTAATGCAAAGATAAAATACTACAAACCAAAGAACTGACTAGAAAGTAATTCAGTTTTACAGAACACATCAGTTCTTTTGGACTTATCATTTTATTAAGCATGAAAAAGCAATATAAATTCTTGTAGAATTTTCATTTTATATAATATTCATTATCAGCAAATTAGATTAAACAAAGCAATTTTATAACAGGTAATGGTTGCTAAAAAATTAGAAAGAGAACAATGACTTGTAAAACTTCAACATTTTAAACTATTATAATGTTCACAGTACCTATGGGTGGACAAATCTGTTTCAGTGGCCACAAAATTATGAACTAGATATAAAACAGTCTCTCCAAAAAATTAAGCAAGATCTTTCTTACTAACAGGATTACAAATATAATTTTTACTGGCATGGCACTTTTACAAATCTAAATTAACTGTTTGTCTCAAAGACTCCATTTGTCCATCGGAATCATCTGAATTTTGGTGAGAGAGAGAGAGAGAGAGTGTGTGAGAGTGTGTGAGAGAGTGTGTGTGTGTGTGTGTGTGTGTGTGTAAATGGCAGTAAAGAGTGGGAATAGAAGGTAGGAAAAGGGGAGCAGATTAATTACCTGTATTTTTATTATACACAAAACATATGTACTAGAAAACAATAATATGGTGGAAACAAAGTATTAGAAACTAGAGAAAATACTTGAAATTGGCATTTTATGAGACTTTTAAGGTATAACAAACACATTTGATTGGATCACACAGCCACACCTGCTTGATCACTGATCTTTGTCTTACATCTAGCTAATTAACTTTATCTACATTTTATATAAATGTAACTGTTTATAAATGTATATGTCTTCTGTGTATCATAATGTTATTTATTATAGTATGGAAATACAGAATATTTTCAGCCTTCCATCTTCTACTTAGAAAATACCAGGTTTTTTAAATTATTATTTTACTTTTTAGCATGATGTTAAGTGCTTCAAAGCAGGTTTTATTTGACTCAGAAATGGAGCTTGGTGACAGAGTAGGAAATAAACTGCAAAATGAAGCCTGCTGATCTCATCCTCTTAGTCTCAATCTCTCCCCTAACATTCCTCTTCTCTTCCATCCCTCTATGAGTATAAGCGCTCAGTAGTTTTCATATGAAATTAAAATCAGTGGAATCGAGGTATTGATTTGATCATCCAACAAACATTTATTGAATGATGCTTACGCGTCACACTCTGTTCTAGAAAACAGTTCAGGAAATCGATGGATTTTTTTTTTTTAATCCATGCCATAACAGAAAGATACACAAACCATTTTTTTAAAAAATCAAATCTTTTATTTTAATGTTCCAGATTCTCAGTTAAGCTCTGTTAAGGTCTTTTGAGGTCATCATCATCAAACAAACGAACCAAATAAAACCATTCCTTTTAACAAGCCTTTCCTGAGCCAGAATAATGGAATTAGAAGCTTATTAGTAGGCCTGTAATACTAGCTCAAATCTTAAATACTGTTTTGAATCAATTGAAAACATCATAATTTCTATTTGTATGTCACATTTATAAGATATTTAAAATATTCAAAGTATTCCTGATTCATTCTATTCAATTTTTAAATCTACCTCACTTTGCTTATATTTCTTCATTTTACTTGACCTTGAAGATTTCCTTCCTGTCCAGCACTAAAAATTAATTAATGTCCATTTTGTTTACTTGGTTTAACTTTTTTTGACCACTCTTGGTATACTTCTTATAGAGAGTATGTGGGAATGTTCACTGTTCATGATTCAATTTCCTCCAAATCTTTAATGTCCACTCCCCAAAAGACACATATTACAATGCAAGAACACATACGCACACATGCAGACATAGAGATACACAGACATACACATGCACCCTCCACTGGATCAAAAGTGCTTTTAAGGAAAAGAAACCATGTATACCTTAGGGAACTACGTATTTCTATAAATTATTAGAGTATTCAACTGAGGAGAGTGTACAGAGATTTCTAAGGTTATCTGAGAGCTAAGCTATCTAACTAATGACAGGAAACTATTAGTAATTCACTAAAAAGTGCTCTTAGGTCTTTAAAGAATTTAGGTACTTTCTCTTAAAAAGAGTTGTAAGATTCTAAAACATGAGTTGATTATATCCTTTGCTAAATAAAGCAAAGCTGATGTTAATATGGATGTCTTTTAACTTTATATCTATTTTTGTTCATTTACTTTGCTTGAAATATATATTTTAGGTTACTGCCAGTAAGAAACATCTTAGAGAAAAGAAGTCAAGAAATAAAGTACTTATTTTTACCATGTGCTCAGTCTAATTACCAAGTGCTGTGATACAGATTATAAATTGGTGTATTAGGGCAACTCTTTGGCATTTCACTTTAATAGCTCATCTTGGAGAATATATCTGAGTGAATCATGTATCAGTGACATTTAAATTTTGATCTATATAGAATTGAATTTTTCAAAATATTTCAGAAGCTCGAATACTGTAAAATAATAAAACTCTAGCCATCAGTTACTTAGAAACTGTTCAATAAATCTAAGACAATTCAGACATAGTTATGAGTGAGTATGGCTATCATTGTTTGTAAAAATTAGTATAATTATTTATGGTTGAGAATAAAGACTAGACATAAAGTTACTTTAATAGAGACAGATATATAGAATAAACTGAGACCAAGAAAACCAGAACCATCTGAAACAAAATGGCTTATAATCATAATTGAATTATTTGCCATCAAAATATTTTATTAGTTTATATGACATATATTTATAAATGATCGTCAAAATTTAGATTTTTAAATTAAATATATTAAGGTGACACTGATTAATAAAATTACATAGGTTTCAAGTGTACAATTCAATAATGTTGTCATATGTATATGGCATAACCATCTGAAACAAAATGGCTTATAATCATAATTGAATTATTTGCCATCAAAATATTTTATTAGTTTATATGACATATATTTATAAATGATCGTCAAAATTTAGATTTTTAAATTAAATATATTAAGGTGACACTGATTAATAAAATTACATAGGTTTCAAGTGTACAATTCAATAATGTTGTCATATGTATATGGCATTTGTGTGTTTACCACCCAAAGTTAAATTTCCTTCCGTCACTATATATTGATGCTCTTTACCCTTATCTACTTCTCCCCCTCCTCTCT